CCTCTGATTAGTTATTTATTTGCTGCTTGATTTATATCCTGCTTTTATTATTATTACTTTAGAAACAATCCAAGATTGTGAACATATCTAGTAATCTTTTCATCCTCTTGTTTTTGTCACAATAACAACCTTGTGAGGTGAGTTGGGCTAAGAGAGAGTGTGTCTGGCCCAAGATCACCCACAGTGGTGAGATTCAAAACATTTTACTACCGACTGTGTGGGTGTGGTTTGGTGAGTGTGGGAATGGCTTGGTGGGTGTGGCAGGGGAAGGGTATTGCAAAATCCCCATTTCCTCCAGATCAGCTGGGACTTGAGAGGCAGAGACTAGATGGGGGCGAGGCCAGCCAGAGGTGGTATCTACCACTTCTCCAAACTACTCAAAATTTCCACTACCGGTTCTCCAGAACTGGTCAGAATCTGCTGAATATCACCTTTGATCACCCAGCTGGATTTCATGCTAAGGTGGGACTAGAACTCACAGTCTCCCAGTTTCTAGCCTGGTGTCTTAATCATTAGACTGAACTGCCTCTGTTTATGAAGTAAAGCTTTTTTGATACAGAATTTAGTTATTTCTAAATGCAGATTTGCAAGAGCCCATTGTTGTGAAGACAAATATAGTCATCATTTACAGTAATGATTTACATCTCTTGCTAATTGTCATTATCCTGACAAATTACATATATGCCTAGAAAGAACTGAATCACATCAATAATCACATATAACTCCATTTTACTATTGTTTTCTTATCTTAAGGTTCTGGGTGATATTCATCTATCACTTAGACAAACCCTACATAAATCAGCTTATCTATATCTATTTCTATGAGTACATTGAAATGCCTGTTTGCATAATTTGTGGCTAGCAAACATAATATAATTTGTTAGCTGCATATAGAATGCCATGCTTCAATAGTTATATTATCTAAAACAGATGCTTTTTTCATTAACTCTCTTTTGGTGAGACAATATTTATGGTGTGGTTATTCTTGCATTAGGTTTAACTCTGGAGAGGTGAACATGATGTTCCTGGATAGTTGAAATATATCAATTGTTTTATCATTCTAAGAGACTGGAGAAGTTACAATATATAATAAATTAACTGATATAAATAGATGCATTGCAAATTAAAGTATTCTACTTTCTTCCACTGACATATCTTGTACAGTAAGAAGTACCATAGATATTATTTAGATTTTTTTCTCCACTTGGGGTGTATCAGATTGATTTATTTGCCATAATATTTCCTATATAAACACCAACATAAAACAAGTAATAAAATTTCTTATAGCAGTTCTAGAGAGTCAATCTATAAAATGAGTGAGATTTTTATCTCTGTAGACAAGGGACCAATGAAACCCCAGCTATTGTTCCTTCTATCAGGGTTCACAAACTCATGATATGACTCCTTGCCTGATAAAATATCCAGAAAATTCTGATCTCTTTTATATACAGCTGTTGCTGTCAGATCAGTATGATATAATTTCTTCAAATACAGCAAAATTTTGTTAAGACTGTTTGAAAAATCCTAGTCATCCATCGATGACCCTACCACGAACTATAATATAGTATTATGCTTTGCTTTGCTTTGCTTTGCTTTGTCTTAATTTTATTTTAATCTTTAAAACTTTAACTCTGATCTGTGACTGCAATAAAAGATAGAGCCAATTAATTAAATTAAACTATCAAAAATTTAAATATAAAGTTAATTGCTCTGTAGCATGGGGATATTGTCAACTTGCAAAGAATCCCTGGCCTTCTCTCAAGTTGCCATAGGCAAGAAGGGGGTGGGGAGGAACTGATGGAGCACCACAGCAGCCACAACCAGAAGCACATCCCATGCATACCTTTCTCAAGGCTGTATCTCAGGTTACCTGCAACAGCCGGAGGGGCGTGATCTCTACAGCCCGCAAAAGTGCTCTGTTGGAGAATGTGATTTACAACACACCCTGGGGGGGGGGGGAAGAAACAGGGTCATAATTGGGTCATAAATTACGTGGGGTCAAACCTAGCTTCCCTTGGGTACATGCTGACATGTTGCTCCTAATAAATAACGGGATTTCTTTTGAAGCTTGGCTTGAAGCTCATGATTTAATTAGGGCATCCGTCGGAACCCTTACAAATATTCTATTTTTTTTTATTTGTCATGACTGGATAATATTTTGTGACCTTTTTTGATTCATCCCGCTCCTGCCTAAATTTCCAAATATTTCTCTGCTAGGCTTAGAAATAAAAAGGGATGGGTTAATCTTTGTGGCAGGTTTGGTACCATGGACAGCTCCCAAAGACAATCTGTGCTGATTATGTTACAGCTTTTGCATCAGGCTGATTTCATCTTGGACGGGAATGTCCTTTGCCTCCGTTCATTAACTATTGTTGATAGAACATCAAGATTAGCCAGATTACTGTAAATACCCATCTGTGATGATTAGTGAATATGTTATAGTATGACTAGGGAAAAGAAAAAAAAGTCAGTTTCAAAGGCTGCTATAATAGCGCAGGGGAAATTCTGCTCCTGTCCTTCTGTCAGTATAAATCCTGGGCAAGTTCCTTCACCTTTTGTAAATACTTTCAAACCTTGAGCTTATCAAAACATCAGCCGAGAATCTACCAGAGACTAAATCAAGGGTATTTTTTCCCCTTAAAGAAATCAATTTTGTCAAGGAGGATTAAGTCAATTACAGACCTGCAACCTTAACCATGCATTGTTTCTGAACCTGTGGTACTTTTTGTAAGTTAATAGATGGTGTGGCTGCAATTCGCTCCTGTAAATATCTTACCATCATCCTTCAATCTTCCTGGACTGTAACCTGATCTTGTTTGGAAAAAAACCAAAACCTCAATTAGAGAGTGTATCTCAAAAGTGGTGCAGTGGCCTAGAGGTGGAGTTCTTACCTCACAATGAAGAGGCTGTGGGTTCGATCCTAGGTAGAGGTAGATATTTCTCTCTCTCTCTGGGCACACTGAGAATATATCTGCTGGAGAAAAAAAAACTTCCGCATTGGCGACAGAAAAGGCATCTCCAGCTAAGATAATGTTCCGTTTCTCCTTTGTCCCTCAGCCAACCCGTCATTCTGTCCATTTCTGCACATTCATAAATCTTTTTAATTATGGCATCTTCCGATTGTATGGTAGTAGATTTCCAAAATTGCGCATAGGTTAGTCTTGTGGCCACAACTATATGTAGGCTCAAATGCCATATAGATTTACTCATGTTTTCTGGTTTTATGCTTAATAAAAAAGTCTCGGGTTGCCATTCCACACTTGCCCCAGTAACCTCTTTTAGCCAGTTTTGAATCCTTCTCCAGTATTTCGTGGCTTCAATACAAGACCACTAAATATGGTAGAATGTGCCATCCCTTCTTCCACATTTCCAACACAGTGGAGATAACTCAGGAAACATTTTGGCTGTGGGTTTGATCCTAGATAGAGGTAGATATTTCTCTCTCTGGGCACACTGAGAATATATCTGCTGGGGGGAAAAAAACCTCCGCATTGGCGACAGACAAGGCATCTGGCCAGTAAACACTCAGTTCCATTCAGTTGCCCAGACTCCACCCTGCAAGGGATTATGGGGTCGTAAAAAGAGGATGAGATGATGAGAGAGTGTATCTCAAGATAGCTTCCTTTAGAATTGGCTGAAGTGGATCCTCTCCACTACGGAAGAATTATTTGCACGTTCGGAAACATTCACAAACTCCTTATAACTAAAATAATCACAAACATTCAAATATTATCTAGGAGAACTGCAATAGAGTATTTGATGCCTTGAAAGAAATTCCGCTTTCAAATAAAATTGAGGGAGAATGAAAAAAAAAGTTCAACAATTTTAATGACCTATGCTAAACATGCCTCATCATTTACAATATGAAGTTGATGGCATATGATATATAATTTAAATAGATATGAGTTCTGACTCCCCTCGTTCCACACCAAAACATTCCAAGCCAAAGATACTTTATGCAATTTATTAATAGACAGACAGGTCCTTGGCAGCAAACCGGCACAGACAAGCCTTGGCAGCAATCCAGCACAGATAAGCCTTGGCAGCAATCCAGCTTGCCAAGCTCACAATACTATTCTCCAACATTAGTTAATATGTTGACCTCTGCAAAAGGGGCGTCTGCACAAGCATTCCTTTTATAGTCTGGAGAGGAGCCTAATTACCACCAGCTGAGTGCAATTACCTCCTGTAACTGCGTAATTGTTCCTTACGCCTATTAGCTCTCCGGTGCCAGGCATCTAGGAACAACTCCCTTGGCTCCTCCCCACTGCTGACGTCCGGATCACACTCCCTTGTCTCCTCCGCACTGGTCCAAGGCTCAGGTGCCTCCTGATAGCCAACCTGCCTCTCTGCGCCCTGCTCAGAGTCAGAACCCTGTCCAGGGTCCTCCACATCCTCCAAAGCCGACTCATAGGGCCCCTCGCTGTCAGAGTCTGGTGGCAGCTCCAACGGCTCCTGCTGGGCCACAACAGAAATGTATATAGGTTTGTGTATACTCACGTGTACAATGAGTAGCTAAATAAATTGGATATAAAACCGAGACTAGATACTTTCTATCTTAATCTCCGTCAGCAGATTAAGTGCTTCAGTGTCCAAAATATATTCAAGAGTGTCTGTACACTAGACACAGACTTTTCCAGATTGCATATCTGAATACAATCAGGGTAATGTAGGAGAAGACTAAGAGGCTGGTTTTTTTTTCATGCTTAACAATGCTATGTTGTTTATTTTAGGTTATACTCAGTCGGTGGCCGAGATGGAAGTTCCTGCTTGAGTTCTATGGAGTATTATGATCCTCACACCAATAAGTGGAACATGTGTGCTCCAATGTGCAAAAGAAGAGGAGGAGTTGGAGTGGCCACCTGTGATGGTTTTCTTTATGCCGTCGGAGGCCATGATGCCCCTGCCTCTAACCATTGCTCCAGACTCTTGGATTATGTTGAGAGGTATCCATCTTCTATGAGTTTTCTTTCATTGGGTCTAAAGGCAAAGAAAGCCATTGATTTGAAATGGTCTTATCACCATAAAAAAGCATAGGTTTTGGAGATATAGAAATATAGTTTTCAATTCATTTTGGGCATTCAAGATTAAATGATATAAGCTGTGCTTCTTTCCTTCTTTCTCCTTGACTCACTTCTTTTCTCTGTCTTTGTTGTCTTATATTCCAAACTAGCTAACAACCTGGCATTGCCCAGGTATTTATTTATAGGGGGAAAATGTCCACACCAAATGTAATTTCTAATGTTGGATTTTGCCCCTTACCAGAGGAAGCCCCCTTGTGGAGTACTGTGAAGCCGTTATCACGGCAACTCCACTGCGCTGTACAGTAGAAGCCAGTGTGGCACAACAGGATGTATCTTAACAGAACAGAACAGATTTACCCCACAGCATTTTTCTCCAGAGAGAAATCATCTGTGTACCAAGTTTGGTTAAAATTGCTCAAGGCATTCCAGAGTTATGCTGGAACACACCCACACCCACACATTTTTATATACATGCATGCATGCATGCATGCATGCATGCATACATACATACATACATACATACATACATACATACATACATACATACATTACATACATACAGGGAAGGTACTTAGGCATGGACAACAAAGTAGTCCCTTTGTCTTCATCTGGGATATTTTTCTTTTTTTATTATTTTTTCCCTTCTACAACACCTTTTTCTGACTTTCCACTAAATCCTTGAAGTTACCACCCTGCCAAGTACTAAATAGATACAACCTCAATCAGCTATCCATGATTCTACATAATTCCTATTATCTTCAAACCTGGGGAAAGATCATGGATTCAATACAACTGTAGTCCTGTGCCTGATGGATTTTTGTGGATAAAGGTGTTTTATTTTACAAGCATACCTAGCAAGCATAAGCTTTATTTTATAGGCTTTAGAACAATAAACTTCAGTATAGTATTTGCTGCAGAATTCTTTTTTTTTTTCACTCAAAGAATCTGGATGAATGCCCATCACCGCACCGAAAACAAAATACAGCCATAATGAATAGAAATTGTATTTTGTTTTTCTTTCTTTTTGTTTTCTAAAGGAGTAGCCGGGGAGTAATAGAATACTTAAAACTACCCCAGACAGGCCTAGAAAGAAATGAGCATGCAGATGGAAAATCTGCCTTCATTTTATAGCTTTATTTCATCTCCTAAAAAAAAAATGGCTGCATGCTTAATCTTCATAATAACGTGATGTGCCCCAAGGTGAAACAGGAGATACCATAAAGTTTTTACATACAAAAAGAAATCAATTTGCTAGTGCTGAGCTGAAGGTAGGAAGAAAAGCTTTTCAGCTTTCCATTGCCTGAAGCATTTTAACCTCAGCCAGAGTGAAATAATTGCTGCGAAGTGTAAGAATAATATGCATTTTAAATTGAAATATATTGACAGTTTTGGACTGTTCAATACTCTCTTAAGAGATACAATATTGGCCAAAATTGTGGAAATCATTTGGGAAAGGTGTACAGTATTTTTGAGGTTTGATGGCTAATAACACCACTTTTTTTTTTTTTTGGAGTAGTGCCATAAAATTAGGGATGCGGTGGCTAAGATACTGAGCTTGTCAATCAAAAGGTCAGCGGTTCGAATACTTAGTGCCATGTAACGGAGTGAGCTCCCGTTACTTGTCCCAGCTTCTGCCAACCTAGCAGTTCGAATGCATGTACAAATGCAAGTAGAAAAATAGGAACCACCTTTGATGGGAAAGTAACAGTGTTCTGTGCAGCTTTGGCATTTAGTCATGCCGACCACTTGACCACGGAGACGTCTTTGGACAGCGCTGGCTCTTTGGCTTTGAAACGGAAATGAACACCGGCCCCTAGAGTCAGGAATGACTAGCATATATGTGAGAGGGGAACCTTTGCCTTTACCATAAAATTATATTGGATATTGGAGCACTGCACTATCATCTCTATCCCCTAGTCCTTCTTTTCATTAAAGTAGACATGCCCAATTTGGGCAACCATTTACCTTCTATGGCTGATTTTGGAAATATGTCCCCAAGGAAACTATTGGACCTCTAGGACAGAAAGATGTACCATGTTAAAAGTCATCTTGATTCCTAAATATGTTCTCATCCGGTATACTTTTTTTCTTTTGTTGCATAGGTATGACCCCAAAACTGATACCTGGACGATGGTAGCCCCATTGAGCATGCCTCGTGATGCTGTTGGTGTTTGCATCCTTGGTGATAAGTTATATGCGGTGGGTGGCTACGATGGCCAGACGTACCTAAATACAATGGAGTCGTATGATCCACAGACCAACGAATGGACACAGGTATCCCTCATGGTGTACTTTGCATGCAGCTGATAGCAGGCTTGGCGGGATTGGTGGATAGCTGAGACTTCCCAGCCCTGCAATTATAGCAATGATTTACTCTACAACAGAGGTGTCAAACTCAAAGCCCGGGGCCAGATTCAACCCACGGGGTGCTTAGATCTGGTCCACAGGGCCACCCTGGAAACAGTGAAGGACCGGCCCGTGGTGCCTCCACCAGCAAAAACAGAACTTGGGAATGTCAAGCACATCCCACCCGGGCTCTGTTTTTGGCCACAACAGCCTCCCTCTGACAGTGAAACCATAGCCTGGGAGGAGTGCCCCTGACACGAGTGACATCAATCTGGCCACACCCATCCCGGCCATACCAAGTTGGCCCCCAGGTCAAACACAACCTTGATGCGGTCGTCAATGAAATCGTGCTTGACACCCCTGCTCTACAACTTCTCAAAGGTCTTATTAAATAAAAGCCAATATTTTGTGCCTAGACCAAGAAAACGTTTTATGAAATGATGGGTTAGTCACTGAACTCCCAAGTTGTTGAACACTACTGTTGTGATCTTGTCTTTTGTTGGAATACTTGTGTTGTTCTTTTTAGTTTGAATTTAATTTTTGTCAGGGTTTCATCTTTCTTATTTAAAATTCCAGTTCTTGTCTAGTTTGATAGAAAAACAGTTGATGAAGCTCTATTTTCCATTGTGTATTCTCTAGCTTTGTGTATCAAACAGTGAGAAGGAAAGAAGGGAAAGGAAAGGAAGAAGGGAAGGGAAGGGAAGGGAAGAGGGAGGGAGGGAGGGAGGGAGGTTTAAATAAGTTTGTCATGATTTAATATCCATGCGGAAATTCTGGATATGATAAATTTGACTACTGCTTATGCATTTTGCTAACATTTTATCAACTTTACCAAGTTCATGAATTATGAATGGTCAATTTAAACTCCTCAGAAGTACATACAGTAGCACAAACTATTAGCATTTCATCTTCACTTTTGGAACTCCAGCTTAATATTTATTTCTTCTCTGCAGATGGCATCTCTAAATATTGGACGAGCTGGGGCCTGCGTCGTAGTCATAAAGCAACCATGACATGATCCGTAATGGATTTTATTGACTTCTAAGCAGGATTTTTCCACCAAACAAGAAAGAAAATTTTGTCAAGCAACAAGGTCAATAGATACCCTCAGCCTTCTGTTGATCACAACTCACAGACATTAAAAGGAAGTGAACAAAAAATGAGGATTCAATGCCCTTTCCTATCAGTATACTGCTTTATGATTTAACAAGGGGGGGAAATCTGTTTTAGTAGCCAATCTGTGTATGTGAAAAGGAAGAAATTCAGTTACTGATCTATTGGCTATTTACAAGAATCCAAGCAAATGACCAAATTTTCTTAAGAAATTGATGGTTTTCATAGCACTAGATATTTTAACTCCATCACAGCACACTGTCACTTTGTAAAACATAGTTATTTTTTTCTTCTTAAAAAGTTGTATTTTATTTATTTGCATTCTTTTTCGCTTAAGGCCTTATCTTCAAACATTTTAGCACTTTGCTACTGACACAGACAATAATGAGACAGGACAAAATTCTCGTTTTGTTTCCTCCTGTAATCGAGTACAAAGACACCGTTCTTTTCCGTCATTGAAAACGATTCAACATTCAACCATGATTGTTTTTCCTAATCAATGACTGGTCCTTCCACTAAATGGCTTGGATGGAATTGTGTTTCTATGGAGCATGGCGGAGCGAATGTGTTTCAGAGAGAAGAGTGAACCTTCAAACAATTGGGGTTCGATGCCATAAAGGAGAGCCAAAGGAATCTCACCCCAAATTTACCCTACTCAAGCATGTGAAGCCTTCTTTCTTTCAAAGCTTTTGAACTTCTCCTGCATGTGAGATGTATGTAGAAGATGGAAAAAATAGCAGTTTGTCCACCATTGCATCATCTAAGAGATATCACTGAGCAATTGCAAGAAAGAGACTTATTGGGACCTAGATGGGCAGTAAGAAGATTGTTTAAGAAGAGATTGGATAACCATTTGTCTGGAGTGGTGTAGTGTTTCTTGCCTAAGCAGGGGGGTTGGACTAGAAGACCTCCAAGCTCCGTTCCAACTCAGTTATTCTATTCTATTCTGTTCTGTTCTGTTCTGTTCTGTTCTATTCTATTCTATTCTATTCTATTCTATTCTATTCTGGACTATTTATTATTTCTATTCCATTCTATTCTACTCCATTCCATTCATTATTTCTATTCCATTCCCTTCCACATTCTATTCTGTTCTATTCTATTCATTATTTCTATTCTATTCTATTCTACTCTACTCTATTCATTATTTCTATTCCATTCCATATTCTATTCTACTCTAATCTTTTCTATTCTACTCTATTCTATTCTATTCTACTCTACTCTATTCATTATTTCTATTCCATTCCATATTCTATTCTACTCTAATCTTTTCTATTCTACTCTATTCTATTCTATTCTACTCTACTCTATTCATTATTTCTATTCCATTCCATATTCTATTCTATTCTATTCGAGATACAGAGGTTCTAATGTCTTTTGTGTTTTCCGAAGCCACCTTTGCTCTGCTGTAATTCAATTTAACTTGAATTACTCTCTGATTGCTGCTGTAGATGATTGAACCTAAGGGCTAACCCAATTTTTCAATGGGAGAGCTAGCCCTCTTGCTTTTTTGAGTGTCACTTACGGGGATTGGCTTATTTATTTGGAGAAAGACTGCTTGGCACATGGTTAAGATACTCACTTCCAAATTGCTTTCTCTACCAATGGCAAAATGTGGACAGATTAAAAAGCAAGAAAGAGGCTCAAAGTGGCAAGAATTAGCATGCAAGAAAGGTTTTTAGAAGCCCATCTCTATTCAGATTGAGTTGATAGCTTTTTTAATATCTGATCTTTAATTTAAAAATAAATTTAAAAGAGTCCTTTGGGGAGCTATTGCATAAAGCTGCTGTGTGATATCTGTTTTGGCTGTAAGGAATGAAGAGGAGGGAAGTCCAGATGTTTTGCCATAATGATGTGCCCTGCCAGCAGAGCATCTGCTTTGCATGTATGAAAAAAATTATGTCAATGAATCATGTTGCCTTTGTAGAATTCTGCTTTGTATACGAATGAGAGGCAGAAATCATCTTTGTGGTCACCTGGATCATAAATGGATGTAACTCTTGGCTGTATTATATCCTAAGCATGGTTGAACTTTCTTATTAAAGTACCAAAATGATGTTGATTTCCATTGCTATTTGGAGATGGGGAGGGACAATCTGATTTCAAGAGTATTTTCAACTGGAGCAGGAATAAAATTTTGGCTAATGTGAAGTCCTTTTTTGGCTTGTCTCTTTCCCCATCCAGGCTAATTTGCTAATTAAATAAAACATTGGTGTCCAAATGACTTGGATCTTTCAGCCTTTTCATTTTGTCCTCAGTTATAATTGGTAGATTGGTGTGAATGCTGTGATCTATCCATAATTTGATTGCCATAAATTAATCAGAAGCAAATGGAAAAGAAATTTGCATTTTAGGGCTCAGGGAAGCCGACTGTGGATTGGCCCTGAGTTTCAGGACAACAACAAAAACTGTTTACTGCAAGGAGAGAAACTGATGGGAGGCAGAGGCCAAAGGGTGGGGGCCAGCAGGTGGACAGGGTTTTGGCAACATTCGCTGTATAAGATGCACAGACATTTACACCCACTTGGGGTGTGGGAAGTGGGTCCTATAGTCTGAAAAATACAGTATGTCTTTAATAGTCGGTCCTTTAACACTTATTCTTTTAAGGCTCAGTTCAAACCAAAGTCTCAAAGTCTTTTAAAAAACTCACAACCTTTGTCTTTTTCAAACGTTCTTACACTAGTTGATTTGAGCTACTATTTTCGTGTGGTGGTTCTCTTTACTAATTGCTATCAAGCTCCCAACAAAGGTTTGAGCTCCAAGCAAGATCCCACCAGGATCTGTTCCCCACTATAGTCCTGAATAACTGAAAGCCCTCTTGCCTGCTTGCAATAGCTGTCAATCTCCTGATGTTACCTCCACTTGTTTATCTGTAGGCTTTTTGTCTTTCCTGCTACACATGTCCTTCCTCATTCTGTACCAATGTTTGCTTATGTAGGCTAAAAGCCTGAGTTGAGTGAAGCTGACCCTGAAC